CCCCAAAACCCCAAAACCCCAAAACCCCAGCTAAGAGAGACTGGTTGAAAGCTTGATAAAGACTAGCATCTTTTTATTATAAATAATTGATAGTGGAGCTACCATATGAGACTTTCAAGAAACCGTAAATATTCCATAAAGAGACCAGGAATGTAGGAATCATGTCAGTTTTATGCACAATTTTTAACATTATTGAACCCATTCTCTTCTAGAATCTCTCTGATTTTTTCTTCTTTAATCTCATAAATTCTAGCTATAAATTCCCGAAGACTTATCTTCAACTCTGGAGAAGTAGCTAGTCCTTGGATGAGATTTTCGAACTCTTCTAAACCTTCATCCCAGTTAGAAAAGTTGGCATAGCCTGATCCACTAAAATCCAGCATCTCTATCTTTGTATTTTTCAATGCTTGAGAAAAGTTGAAGACTGAAGGGATTGAGATATCGCATCTCCAGAAACTTATTTTCTTGAGATGTTTACATCAAGGCATGATTCTCTTGAACTGGTAAGCACTGATTCTAAACCCGTGGATGTTTATCTTCTCCAAAACTTTTGAACTGACCTCAAAAATTAAATTCGAAATAGGTAAAATATCCAAATAGGGATCTTTGCTACATTCAATACTTAATCCAGTGACTCTTTGAGGAAATGACGAATTGATAAAATTCCGAGTATGTTTATTCACCTCTGTGGGTTGAAATAAAATTAATTCGTTAACTTTATAAGGTCTCATAAAGTTAGTCTTCTTCTCAAAATATTGATTTCTTTCCCATCTAGAAATTAAGTAATTGATTTAAATGATTGTCTCCTATTCTTTGTTCTTCTTCGGAATCCTCAGCTTCCAATTCACTAGAAAAACAATTTGAGTAATAAGCATTTCTCAGCATTTTGTCTAGTTCTTTACTTTGGATTGAAGTCAACTTCTCTCACCTAAAAAGACAGATTTATATGGCAAATTGCTTTATAAACTCCAAGTTGTACAAGCTCTCATCTAATTTCTGGATACGTTGATTATTCCAAGCGACAATAAAGAAGTTTTAAAGTTATCTCCATTGAAGTTAAAATGTGGGAAAATAATAGAGAATCAGACTTAATCTCATCAGCTAGGTTCCTTTCTTTTTATAAGATACACACGAAGCTCAAGAAATTACCAAGAACGATAGATGTGGAGCCCAGTAGAACTCTGACTTCATAAAACAGATATAATAATATCAAATTATTTTCAAACTGGTAGAAATTTATGCCGAACTGAATGGAGGACATATAGAGAATTGAACACATTTTATCCCATGTTGAAAAGATTTGGCTTTAACTTGAGTACAGATTGAAAGGATTTCTTCCTCAGAACTTAAGTTCTAACATTCAAATATCCTTGAAAAAGAGACTCATAAAGATTGGCTTTATTAAAAACCCCAATCTCGACTAATGCTTACTCTAATATTTTGTCTTTGCTAATCTTTTCCAACTGGGGTGTATCTTCCATTTATTCTTATTTTTTTATTATATTTCCACTATTTCTTCAGATGTGGGGTTTTGGGGTTTTGGGGTTTTGGGG